GGGGGGGGGGTGGTGAGGGGGACTGATGACGTCGGCACGCCGGGAGTTGTGGGCCGAGGGATGCACGTGAAAGGGCTGCATTCAAAAGTAGAGGTATCATTGCCAGACCACAATCCAAGGCGAGCCACTGCATGTCTGTTGTTGGCATGCATGTGCGTTTGCACAGCCTGAGACATCCACTTGATGGGTGCAGCCAAAGAGACCACTATGACTCCTCGCTCCCCAGGCGGCGCCCCGGCCTCCTCACGCCCCCGACCCACCTGAAGTGAGCGCCTCCTCTGGCCACGGCAGGAACCAGTCAATAGTGCAGCCGTTGATGAGGCCGGGGAACTGCTGCGCGCGCCTCGCAAACTTGGCCCCCACAGGACTGCACAGCAGCAAACACACGGCAGGTTGTTGGGTCAGATTATAATATTCGACAGATATATGGTGGACGCACAGTTGCAGATGCTGTAGTTACATCCATCCGCGCAGCACAATCACTCCAACGCCCGTGAGGTCTCCTGGGCCCAACCCCACAATCCAATCCCCTCTGGATTAGGCTTGCAAGCACCGCCGCATGCGGCACCCGCACATCACGGTCTGCTGTCCCCAGTCGCACCTGAAGCAGAGGCAGACGTGCAGGTTGTCCCTCACGCGGTTGAGGAAGAACTGGTAGAGGTTGTCCCAGGTGTCGGCTACGCCGGGCAGCGCGGCCTTCATGATGGGGCGGATGTCGTTCACAATCATGTCCAGCTCGTCCTTGGGCAGCAGGCCTTTGGAGGGCGCGGCGAGGGGGAAAGGAGGTCAAGAGGGTGAAAAGCATCGCGTTTACAGGGTGGAATGTGCAGAGGGTGGCAAAGTCCAAGTGGGCTGGGGAGAGCTGGTGTGGGCTGAGGGATGATATGCATCTGAGCAGAGCACCTGCTGAAGCTGGGCGCCCTCATGCAGGGACCCCTGCGAAAGCCTTCATCTGTGTGCTGGCCGCCACAACCTTGGACCAGGCGCCAAACCATGCGGGCGCTGCGCCTCCCCCTTTCCCCAACAGCACCGGCACACACCCGCGACCTCCCCGGTCATGAGAATCTGGTTGATGTACTCCAGGAAGGCCTCGTCCTTCACCTCCGCATCAGTGAACAGGAAGCACACGGACTGGCCCTTAAAACCTGGGGGGAGAGTGGGGTTAGGCCGAAGGGGGAAGCGCGGTTTGCAAGGCGGTATCAGGGGCTGCTGGTACACTCACCCCAAGAGGAGCATCGGCATGGTAAAGTGCGCTTTGCAACGCTGGCATTGCTGCAGGTGAGCTGCAACCAACATGGCCAAAGTCAATGCAAACTGGGAGGGCCATATGTGAAAGCTCGCCGCTTGCAACTAAATATTTCCAATCTCTCAGCCTTTGATACCCCCTGGTCCTGACGAGCGCACCTGCGATCTTGTAGAGGGCCTTGATGTCCTCAAACAGGTTGGTCACGTTGTACGTCTTGGTCACCGTGATCTGGCAGGGTTGAACACACACAGAGAGAGGACGCCGGGGTTTGCAGTGTCAGATATCGATATAGGTCAGGCCGCACGCGGGCCCCTGCACGGCACTGCCTGCCTGCAGGTGCTGGCCTATACAAGCCCAACAGAGCGCGACATGGCCCGCACGCTCGCTGGGTGCAGCGCGCCGCGCCTGGAAGGTGTAGGACCCCGCGATGTAGGCCGCCAGCCGCGCCAGGCTCTGCTTGCCGCTGCCACCCACGCCGACCAGCAGCGCGCTGCCGCGGGCCATGGACAGCAGGCGGCTGATGCGCATGAGGTGGTGCAGCGCGTCTGTGAACAGGACCAGCTCGAGCTTCAGGATCTGGGGTTAGGTCATGCGTTGCGAGGCCGCGAGGGTTTTGCGAGCACGCCACAAAGGAGCGTGGGCACAGCGCTTGTTGCAGTCCCTTTGCGAACGCGATGAACCTGTTCGCTAGACCGCGCGCCTGCCGATGCAACGCCACACGCAGACAGTAGCAGCAGGCTCGGGGCGCGGCCAGGCCCAGGCCGTCAAGTCCTCTCCGGCGCGTGCGCTGCGTGCTGGAGCGTGGACTCATCAAGCGGCCATCGCTATCTGACAGGCGGCCCCACCTTGCTCTCCTCGTTGAAGCGCTTCTGCAGCGCCTCCACGCGTGTCCGCACCTCCACCAAGCCGCCGGGCACGCTCTCGTAGAAGCTGGGGTGGGCCTGACGGTGGAAGGCCGGCGGACGGACACACATCCTTCTTCCATGCTCCACTCACGACCCTCATCGATGCGTGTGTACTCTGTGCATTCTCGACAGATGAGGACGTCAAAACAAGGCGTCACGCTGCTTCGTGCCCGTAGGGCCCCTCAACGTCAACCTTAAACGCGACCCAACAGGCGGCCAGGTGCGCGTCGCCCACCTCTACCACCTCCCCGGTCTCCTGGTCCACCACCGGCTCCCGCAGGAAGTCGACGAAGAACAGCGGCTCCTCAACCTGCAGAGTTTTTCGCCGAGGAGCAGAGCGTTTCACACGACCGGCCGGCAGCAGCACATGGGCCTGCCGGCGCACAGCATCCATAAGAATAAGTGGCAGCATCTGAAACACACAAGTCGCAGTGTTGCACATTGAAGCGCGGATGTCGCAACGGTCACCTGCTTGCAGAGCTCAGGCGGGAACTCGTGCTTGCACAGCTCCCCCAGCTGCTTGTCCAGCCAGCCCTTGTCCTCGTGGCACACCAGCTTGTCGCCAAACACACGCCTGGCGGGGCGGCGGGAAAGGGCGACGGCACGCAGGGTTGACGCGCCCTGACTCCACCACGTGCTGGAACATCGCGATGCTCAGTCGTGGCCCGCTTGGTGAAGTAGCAGCAGGGGCCCTCACTGCCACGCCGCAGTGCTGTGTAGTGTAGAGTGTGCGACAGAAGGCCCACTCACCTGCACTCGTGAATCCAGAGGCCCAGCAGGTAGCCCTCCGGTGACGTCACTGCGCCGCCAAAGCGCCCCTTGGGCGCGGACTTGTTGAACCTGCAGCCGGGATGTCACAGGCATTTTCTCAAACACGTGATATGAGTCTTTCACCATTACTCACAGGCGCAGGAGCGACCTTGGAATCCAAAACCATGTCTGCGCTGCTGGAAGCTGGCCGACAGGAGTACATGGGTTTGAGCGACGAACCCCTTCTGCAGAGCAGGCCGTCTTCAGAATCCTGCACCCCTCGCCTCGCTCTTGCTGACGCATCCATGCACGCGGCCCACCTGTCCCTGGAGGCAAGGATGACACCCTGGAACACCTTGCTCAGCTCCCTCATGTTGAACAGGTAGTGGAACTTGGCGGGGGTGGGCAGCATCTTGGCCTGGGGGCCGGGAGAATGGGTTCGGAGGGGTGGGGTTCGCGGGGAGGGGGGAGGAGGCGATGGGGATCAGGAGGTGCAACGAGGTTGGCAGCTTGAGGATGGGAGCACGGCTGCGCAGGGCGTGTCTTCTAGGTGCTTGTATGAAAGCTCCCGGTGCTGGCTCGGGATCAAGGGAGGCAGACGTTACGCCGCAACGCCATAATCCGTCGAGCGCCAGCCGTGCGCTCCACAGCTCTCATGGTTTCAAAGCGAGACCTACGTGGCAGTCACGGGCCGCCACTCCTGCTTCAAGCACGCGCGAAGGATGCGCACCTGGGTCCTGTTCCAGAGGTTGATGGTCATGGGCACCAGCCGCGACGCCACCTGCACCACCTCGTCAGCAAACAGCGCGGCCGGGAAGCGGCCCTCCACCAGGCGGCCAAAAATGCCGTTGATGGCGGCGACGCTGGGCAGGGGGACATTGAAGAGGCCAAACTGGCGCTTGAGGCGGTTGGGGACGTCGTTCTTGCCGCCGCCTGGCGTTTGATAGAGAAGGGGATGGGTTCAGTAGGGCGTTGCACCTACTCAACACCTCATGAACCTGCCAATATCAATCAACATTTGCGGACGCTTGGAAGCTTGATAAAAGCTGCGCGCTCCCTGCTGAAAGCTTGTTGTGTTCTAGCCTGCCTGAGATCCATCATTCACCCCTGCAACCCATGCGCCCCACATTTAATCAGCCACCTCCTTACTCCGGCCGACGCCCCTCCCATAGGCGTGCTTGCTAACCCTGTTGCGCTGGGGCAGCCAAACGTGCCGTACCCAGGCCCGTACGCACCCGGCACATTCATGGCGGCGACGTATCTGGTGTCTGTGATGAACTTCATGTCGCCGATGGGCTTCTCCAGGCCGTACATGCCGCCCTGCTCCAGCAGCTGCCGCACGATCTCGTTGGTCACCTGGCGCACAGCAGGGCGGGTGTAGGGGTGTGGAGCATGGCGGCGTTGATTCAGTAAAGGTCCACAAGCAAGGCATTGACTTTGCCCCTCATTAGGGAGCTTGCTGTGGCAACACTGCCAAGGGTGGGTGAAGCATGAGGTTTACCCCTGTGCCCGTCTGACACAATTGTGGCACAAAGCGCTCCATGAAACGCAGCGGGGCGCTGGAACAGGGAGCGCACCTGGTCGCCCCACTCATTGACCGCAGGCATTGAGATGTCGTCGACAAAGACGCACATGGTGCGGCCGCCAGGGGGGCCGTACGTGCGGCCCTGGCGCTTCTCAACCGCGCCTTCGATCGACATCTGCACGATTGCGAGTTGGGTCCATTTAGGTCATAAATAGAGGGCACTTGCTCACGACCATTTCAGGAATGTGTGGGCATGTCAGGTGCAAACCCTAGACCCCACAGTGACAAGCCAGGCAATGCATGTATGTGTAAGAGACTGTGGTGCTTTGAGCGGCAGCACAGCAACCAGGCAGCCCTGTGGCTAGGCTGTGATCTGCCAGATCATTAAGGCCAAAGCGTCCCCATATCTGTGTCTCTCTGAATCTCGGGAACCCCAAGTCACCTGGAAGATCTGGGGCGTGGTGAGGCTGCTGAAGGTGATGGTCTTGGTGGCCATGGACTCGCTGTTGAAGCGGCTGAGGAACTGGTTCACGACGCACGTCTGTGGAAGTTTGTGGGGATCATGAGAGGGTGACCGTGGGCCGTCATGCGGCTTTGGGGGGTGAAATAGGTCCAGAATGGCAGCTTCCCTCGCAGCTCGCCCCGCGGTCAATGTCATCGGGCGATAAAGAATGATGTGAGCGGGTACTTTTGAGCGCCGCCGCCGCGCACCTTGGCCGTGCCGGGCACGCCGACGAGCATGGAGGCGCTGCCGGCGGTGTGCATCAGCGCCAGTAGGCGCTCGTACCTGCACAGGGGGCCAACACAGCGTTGCCGGTATGGTTAATAGGCAACGCGTTGGCTGCCACGGAAATGGCAGCGTCTGGTGTTTTGAAAAATGATCCATGAACCTTTCCGCCCAACCTCCTTTCCGAGCCCAAAGTGGCAACTGGAAATTTGCAGCATGCCGCTCACCCTCCCCCAAGCACCCAGACTCACCGGACGCTGTCCAGCGTGGGGATGACGAGCTGCGCAAACTTCGGGCGTTCCTCGCTGACCGGGTAGGCCCACTGCGGCACCGCGCCCGCCCAGTGGCGCCACTCGCCGGTCGCCTCGTCCACCATCCACTCAAACACGGTGTCGCCCTCCGGCTGCCTGCAGGGGTACAGGATAATTTGTTTCTGAAAAGTTTGCTTTGACCCACGGAAACCTGCACGTTGATGCAAAGCTTCAAAGGGACAGCAAGGGTTCCTTGCAGCCAACCAGAGCTTGGGAGTGTCCAAGCGGCCGCCCCCACCTTGGCGGCATGTGGCTGCCAAAGCTGCGCAGCTCTGCGTCAAAGGTGGCCCTGTCCTTGACATCCAGCAGGCCGCCCAGGCCCCAGACAGCGCAGTACACGAAGATGCGCTCCAGGCGCTCAGGTGAGAGGGACTCGTGGGCGTCGTCGTGCCTGCAAGGGTTTCAGAGTTTTTCTGGTCATTCACTCCATGATTTAGGAGATGCACCAGCTAGAGATAAGATATTCGCTGCATGTTTGCAATGTGCACGGCGCCTGTGTGCCCACAGGATTGATGGTGTTGGGTCCACACCAGACAAGGGAGTGGCGACTGACAGGGGCGGGGTGCTGAGTGCATAGGCAGCGACTCAGCAGTTTGCACAGTGCTCTCACATCTTGAGGCTGGCGTTCAGCAGGATGAGCAGCGTGTTGACGTGGCAGACCTGGGCGCAGGGATAGGATGGGGCGGCACAGGCGTCATCGGGGTGACCACTTGATCCCCCACCCCAGCAACACGGAGTTCATGGCAGGGGAAGGCACATTGGACAATGGCGCGACAACAACAGCACTGCTTGGCAGCAACAGCAGGAAGATGGTGTGCCCTACAGCCTCTGAGCATGCACGCGCACCTGCTCGTTGTACATGACAGGCTTGGTGTTGACCCGCAGCCACTCCAGTGCGCGGCCCACGTACTTGTCAAACAGCCCCGACAGGTGCTGCGACTGCAATTGTTTGGTGACGTCCGGGCAGCACGTAGGTATTGCACAGATAAAGGCACTTGAGTAAACAGAAAGTATTAGCTCTGGCCGTCGTCCTGATCTGGCCGTCGTCTTGATCTGGCCGTCGTCCTGATCAAAGACACAGTCAATCCTTGCAAGCATCAAGCTGGCTGCATATTCTCACAAAGGGGGGTGCAAACGCAACCTCCCAGGCTAACGCACCTGCGTGGCGTCTGTCCTGCGGGCCAGCCAGGACTTGGTGATGGGTTCCCAGCCGAGCTCGCTGTCGCTGACATAGATGATGCCTGCGAGAGGGGTTTTGGGCCTTAGCATTGAGCTTGATGAAAAGCGTGGGATGCACAGGGTTGCGTGGCCGGGCATGGGGGTCCACAGGGTAGGACATGACGGCCGGTTGGGCGGGAGGACCCCGTGCTTTCCGCAGCTACAAGGGACCGAGGCAGTCATGAAGGCCAAGGTGCATGGCCGGCGATTTTCTTTCAAGACGCCAGAATCAGCCAACCCTGCCGCCACCCAGCAGCCCGCGCCCCCAGGCTGTGGTCGCCTCCCACCCACGCGCGACACGGTGGCGGGCGACGCATTGTTGAGGTTCTCGGGCTCAAACATGGCCTTCATCGCGGGCGTCATCAGGATGCGGTCGCCGTTGGCCAGCGTCAGCACCTGCCAGTCAAGACGAGGATATGACAAGGCAGGAGATGGGGATTAGTGGCAAGTAAGAAGCACGTGCGCACGCATGATCATGTTTGTGTTGCATGGGGCTGGCCCTGCTATTGTGCAGGCTGCGTGCAGGCCGGCTGTTGTGCAGGCTCAGCAAAGCCAGCCGGGGCAAGTCCTGCGCGCCTTGTTGTCGTCGAGGACTGTGTTGAGGTTCTCAATCCAGATGGCGTCCACGGGGCCGTCCAGCACGATCCAGGTGTTCTGGTTGCGGCTCTTGGTGGCCCTGGGTGAGAAAGGGTCCCGGGGGGAGGGGGGAGAGAAGGAGGGATGGCAGGACTTGTGACGGAAGTTAAAAGGGCAAGCTCCTACAGAAGTTGGTGAGCACGCACGTGCGCTGATCGAGCGTCGAATTTCACACGAGGCTTTGCTGCCGTCGAGGCATGAATACGGGGAGTCGCATGCTGCGAGCTGCTGCGAAGCAGGGTTGTGCGCACCTGCGCCAGAGCACCGCAAACACGCCGTCCGTCCAATCGCCGGTAGTCGGGTCCATGCGGCCAAACATCTGGTGAGGGGGTGTGAAAGCAGTCACAGCCACTCCGGCATGAGTACAGCTGAGTGCAGATTTGGACACGGCATGAACGCCTTCAGTGAGGCTGAGCGGGAGCCTGCCAGGGCAATCATACCACTTGTCGGCCGCTTTATGGAGAGAAGGGGAACAAATTCAGATCCTCGGATCAATGAACTGACTGATGTGTGTGAGTTGGATGCCTTTGCCGCCGACATCCTGTTTTCAACGCGCCCAGGGCTCAAGTATCAACCCCGCACCTGTGGCGCCGTGATGGCCTTGGGGTTCATCCTCCAGATGACGTGCTTGGTGCCCAGCTCTGTCAGCGCCGCGGCCAGGCACTCCATGATGGCGCTCTTGCCTCCACCACTGGGGCCGACCTGGGGAAGAGGTTTGCATGTGGACGACACACCCAGCAATGCTGCTAGCAGGAGCACTTTCACATTGCATGAGTGCCTTCTGGGGTTCTGACCTGGTCTGCAGCTGGATTGACTGCGCGCTTGCCAGCCTGGCATTGACTGATCATGGCCAGCACCCCCAGCTCAATACCCAGCCTTCCCTGGCCCCCTTGAGCTTTTTTTCAAGTGTCAACCAGCCAGCCGGCCCTTGCGCCACTCTTTGATGCCTGGACGCCGCCATTCAACACCCACCAGCATGATGCCGTGGCGCACGAGGTACGTCTCGTACAGCTGGATGCACTTGTTCAGCCAGGGACCGTGCAGCTGCAGCCCCTTCTCCAGCGCCACCTTCTCCAGCGCCTTGGACACCTCGGGGAACGACGCGCGCTCAGCCTTGAGGCCTGCAGGGGGGCGCCGGGACGTTTCACAGGTTGCACATGCAGGCAAGGTGTGCCACTGCCCAAAAGTAAGCACCATGCGGGTAAGCACCATCCACACCCAAGTGCGCCTTTGATTTGGGCATTGGCTGTCACAAGACCCTTGGCCCTAAAGCGGTCACGGGCGTGCAGGGCACAGCCTTCAAAATGCATACGTCCCCCACTACACCACACTTTGGGCCAGCTGAATGCCCCCCTTTTTTGAACAACAAAACTCTGTGCCCTGACACTAGAAGGTGTGCGGCTCTGCAGGCCCCTGAGCCCCCCCCCCCCCGCACCCGGGAAGAGGTCGTCTATGAGGCTCATGAAGAGGGGCACGTCCTCCGCCACGTACTTGCTCATGTTCATGTCGCGCAGCGTGCGCATCATCAGGTACACCTGGAGGGCGGGGCCGGGAGTTGGGGCCGCACGGTGTACGTGGGTGGGTGCGTGGGTTGAGGTGGAACATGGGCGCCTGCTGCACGGCTGACCCCTCGAAATGGGTGCCGTGTGCTCAGCAGGCCCTGCTGCTTCTGGCCGCGCTGCATCATGCGGTGGCAGGCAGCTGCGCAGAGGGGTGCTGTGAAGGCCACAGTCCGTATGTCGCAGTCCACAGTCCTTCCCTGTCCAGAAACACACGCACCTCGCTGCGGTCGGGGTTGGCGCGCTTCGACGCGCCCGCCGTGCGGAGCACCTGTGTGTCAGGGAAAATTGCACGTGCCGGCCATCAGCTCTACCTCCTGTTTGGCAGGCAAACCCACTAATCTGTCATGCTGTCTGGACAAAACTACATGCGGAAGGCTACAAGCGACCTTGATAGTCTATTGGCAGTCCATTCAGCTCCCACCATCCCCTTGCCCCCCCCCAAGAAAAAATATTGTGCTTGCATGCACGCATGCAGCCAATTGCGCTCTCACCGACAGGATGTTACGCAGCCCAAAGTCATAGTGCGGCTGCTTTGACAGCTGCTGCTCGCACAGGCCGTACAGCACATGGAACTTCTTGCTCAGGGCGTCGTTCTCCTGGTAGCCGCAGGCCGCCAGCTTGACCTGCCGTGCGGAGGTCACAAACCCAACCTTTGATACTAACGCTGGACAGAGGGAGCATGGGAGAGGAAGCGGACGGTGCCAAGAGCTGTTGCTGCTGCCCTACTACCCCAAACTACCAAAAACCGCGAGGGCAGCAGCCCAGCGGCTGTTCCTCGGCCCTGGTCACTTGGTGCCGGCGGCCCTGGCCCAGTCCGGCCTGGGCTGGGCTGGCACGGCGCCCGCCGCACCTTGATAATGATCTGCCTGTTGGGCACCATCATGGTGACGCCGCGGAACAGGGCCTTGAGGTTCTCAGGCAGCTCCTGGCGGCCCGCATACCTTTGAGATGCATACGCGCATGAATGGCGTGAGCAGGGGGATCAAGAGGGACCCATCATGGACAACAACATGTGCATGAGCAAAGCTGGCGTGGCGCAAGAGCGCAGGGTGGGAGGTCGCAGGAGGTCAGGAGCAGAGTGACCTCGGCTGGCGCACGGGTGTCGTCCCAGGCATTCCCAAGGGGGGGTTAAGGCGCACCCACCCGGGGTTCATGGTGATGAAGAAGCCGACGCGCGAGTCGAGGCTGACGGTGCTGCCGTCGGTGAACACGAAAGACTTTTTGCGCTCGCGGATGGCCGACAGGATGCAGTAGATCTGACGGGGGGCGCCATGAAAGGACGGGGGATGCGGGACGAGAGGAGCTGGGGAGGCAAGTGAGGGGCGAGCACTGCCTGGCGAGCGGCCCTTGGCTGGCGCTTATTGGGCCGCCTCAGGCCGAGCCTGAGCTTTAAGTCAAAATTTCTTCTGCCGCAAACTACAAGCGCAGACCAAGCGGCCTCGGCCTGCAGCAATCTTCCCCCAACTGTGCACGCAATCGCACTCAGTAATCCCGTGAGCATACAGCAGTTCAGAACCGATCGCCCTCTGGCCGCACCTGCTGGGCGCACACACTGAGCACGTCGAGGTTGATGCGGTTGAACTCGTCAAAGCAGCCCCACAGGCCGCTCTGGGCGAGGCCCTTGTAGATCTTGCCCATGCCCTTGTAGTCCATCTGACGGTTTGGGTGGTTTTCGGCGGTTTCTTCGATCGTGGCTCCATTGCTGGGGGCAGACTGCTGGTGGTCGGCAGCGGAGCTTCAGTTGCTGAGCAAGATCCAGAACAAACGGCCTGCGAAGACTGCCATGATGAAGCCGATGCAATCGCAGCTGTTCCAACCAGCTCACCTGGTCGCTGCAGTTGAACACCACCACGTACTTGCCCAGGGTGTTGCCCAGGTCCTTGGTGGTCTCGGTCTTGCCCGTGCCCGCGGGGCCGGCGGGCGCGCCGCCCAGGAACATGCCCAGGGCCTGGGGGCAGGGGCAAACAATACAACATCCACCTCAGAAGCAGTGCGCCAAAAGCCAACCTGGGGCATGCCCCATCCGTTCCCCCCCTCTCTGCAAGCCTTGGAAGATTCAGGGGCGGCCCGCCCCCGGGTCGTCAATTTGCTGTGTCCCAGTGATGGTGCACGCTGCAATGCGTGTGCGCCAGCCCTCCCAGCGGCGCACCTGGCTGAGCGTGACGTAGCAGATGTCTGTGAGGGGCGTGATCACCAGGCGCTCCTTCACACCCAGGTACTCGTAGCTGCATGAGGCGGGTGCGGGAGGTGTGGCGGTCCGTGATGCAAGGCGATGGGGAGCACGCAGAGGCAAGAGCAAGTGGAGTGGATGAGACGCAAGAGGTGAGACACCGAGGGACGCGCAGAGAACGGTCGTTAAGATAGTGGAGGGAATGAGGTTCCAGGCAGGTGTCGGCATAAAGTATGCGTACATGGGTGATGCTGAGTTGTGGGAACGCGTCAAGGGTAAGAACTAGGTGGTGAGCATCAAGACGACTTCATGTATGTGCTCTGCATTAACCAAGGTACAGCTGCCCTTCTCCCAAAAGCCCACCTGTACTCAAAGTCCACGTCGCATATGGAGGTGATGACTGTGTCGCGCTCCTCCCGCCAGTAGACGCGCACCTGCTTCAGCCAGTCAAAGTCCGTAGGGTCGCGCACCTGGCACCAACAAAAGGTGGGGAGTCAGGATAGGGTTTAGCCGTACAGGGCATGCAAGCACTTGGCTTAATTTACGTATTCTACGTTCAAACTGCATGCTTGCACCCCAGGAGAACTGCGTGGCTGATCTGCACAACAAGGCAATCTGGGCATTGCTGCAAAAGCTTTAGCGCTCCACTACCAAATAAGTCCGCTGTGCATTGAGTGCGGAGGAGATCCCAAAACTTTTGTACGCACCTTGCGGCGCACGAGGTCCTCTGTGGACTCCTTCTGGTGCATGTGCACCGTGATGCAGGTCTCCAGGTTAGTGCGCTGGATACGCGACAGGTCGGCGCGAACTGTCAGCATCACCATGTCGCTGCGCAGTCCATGTGGGGAGTTGTTTTGTGCACAACGGTGAGTTGTCAATCATGACGGAGTCGATTGCAGCCGCTGCGTACATTGACATAAATCTCGCGGCAGCAGGGTTTCAGCGGTACGATGCTGCAGGAGGGCGGAACCAGCAGGGGGCCATGCACGACTGCGGCAGTCAGCGCTGGGAGGCACCGTCACCCACCGCAGCAGGGCGTCCGTCTTCTTCATGTTCTTGACCATCACACTCTTGTCCGTCTTGGCACCAGCCAGGGCGGCCTGGCCAGGGTGCAAGGTGTGGTGAATTTGACGAGTGCAGCAGCAGCGGCAGCAGAGCAGACACAATGCACAGGAATAGAACGGCGTTTGTTCAGATGGGCTCGACAGCGAGAGCAGGGCAAATCTGCCCACCTGTGTGTCGGCTGTCCACTGGAACTGGATGCCCAGGAGGGACACCTGGGCTGGATGGTGGAAGATGAAGTCCTCCAGGCTCATCTCCTGTGTGTGGTGCGTGTGTGGAGAGGGTGTTGGAGCCACGTGCAAAGGCGGCGGAGCACAGCACAGGCAATGGTGCAGCGCAGTAGTCAGCAGTGATGATGTGCTGGCAGGGTGCATGGTGCAGCTGCTGGTCTACGGGCGAAATTTGCTGAATCGCCAGGCCCCCTTCCCGCGCATATTAGTCAACGCATCCCTTCCTTCCATCCAAGCTGCATGGCCGGCACCGCGCAGCAGCTGTGATTCCACCATCGTCTTCACTCACGTAGACGTTGTGCATGGCGCGCTTGATGACCTGCTTGACGGTGTTCTGCATGCCGTCCACCAGCCGCTGCAGCCAGACCTCAATGTTGCCCTTGGCGTCCACAGGGGCCACAAACTCCACCTGGCAGGCACCCGGGCAGGTGTGGTGGGCAGCAGTGCATGTTAATGTGCCCTGCACTTTTGTGCTGCAAGCTGGGAGCCGCGGTCACAATCGCGGAAGTCGAACGACTCTGTGGGCAGAAAGTGCCCGGCGGATCGAGAGCCCAGCGGCACGCAGCGAGGGCGCAAAGGGGCCGCACCTTCTCCCCTTGCTGGCTGAACATCTCCAGCATGCGGGTCTTGTCCGCCTGCAGGAAAGAGGGGGCAGCGGCGCGCCGCGGCGGTCAACGGAGAACGCTTGATGAGAAATATGAGGCGGCAAGGCGTCGCAAACGCAGGGGGTCCTTAGGGGCACTCGGTGATGTCACCCGCCATCCCCCACACACCCCACCTTGTCAAAAGTGACGTTTGAGAGGGAGTCAAACAGGCCTGATTGGAAGTGCGGCACCACGCTCGGCGGGTCGGAGCCCAGGGACAAGATCTCCAGCAGGGTGGGGTCCGACACAAAGTAGAACCTGGCGGTTGGCGGCCGTAGAGGAAGTTGGTCGCTGGCGCCGCCAAAATTACATCATTTCCTCTGCACTGGCTCAACCAGAGCGGTAGGGCGTGTGCTCTCACGCATCCAAACCCCTGACAAAACCGGCCCGGAACGGGCGCATGTCGCCGGTCCCGCCGCTGGGCTGTCTGCGCCGCACCTGGGGAACTCTGCGCGCTTGGTCTCCAGGTACGCGCTAAGGCTCTTCTGGCAGAGCTCCAGCTGCTCCAGCAGGTGGGGCAGCATGTTCTTCATCAGCTCGCCGCCGGCGCAGACGGCCACCACGTTCTGGGTCTCCATCGCGGCGGTCACGATCTGGGCGCCGAGTGTTCATGCGCGGGAGGGGGAACAGGGAGACGCCAAAAAGAGGCCGTGGTACAGGCAATGGACACGGCAGGCAGGGACGCGCAAACATCAACATGTCGCTGCCGACCCCGTTGATGGACACCCTGAGCGTGCGGCCACAATCCCCGGCCTGGACTGACAAGCACAGGCTGAGCACAAGGGATCAAGGCGCACATGAACAAAGGGGGGTACCCCAGCCTCGAAGCGCCCACCTTGATGTAGTTCTTGTCAATGTTCTGGAAGCGCTTGGCCTCGGCGGGCAGCTGCTTGACAATGTCGCCGCCGCTGAAAACAGCCTCCATGTACTGCCACATGTTCTGAGGACAGTCGCGTCGGGAGTGTGAAGGAGGCCAGAGGCCCGAGTGGGACAGGGGTCGATGGGGTTGAAAGCAGCAAGTCGCAGGGGGCACTGAAGGTGTTATGCAGGCATGTGTCGGTCTCGCCTTGGCCACATGAATGTGGCCGGTGTCGTGTCTTGAAGGCGCTGGATGGGTTGGGACTCGCAGCAAAGTGTTTGCGCCTACGCCACCAAAGCGCAGGTTGCCACGTTTGCATGCAATTTGGGGGGCATACGAGGCGCCGCCACCCACCTGCACCATGAGCCACTGCTCCAGGATCTCAGACACTGTGGACAGCTTCACCACCCACGACTGCACCTGCTCCCGGAACGGCGCGCTGTACCTGCGGTCATGAAACGGAGATGAACAACATGTTGCGGCGCCCATCCGCAGGGTGAGTCGCGATGCATAGTTGGGAGTGTCAAGTGTGCTTGCAACATGTCGGGTCATACATCATCTCTGCCACAAGCCCAAAAACTCAGCGTTGGTACATGTAGCCTGCACGCCTCCCCCAGGGGTACCCAACTGTCTGCAGCTGCGTCAGGGCTTAGATCTTAGGGTTGAGGGTCTAGGTCCGGCCGCCACCCGTGGGTCCTCCATGCCCCCACCTGTTGGTGGCCATGCTGCCCAGCTGCATCTGGCTGTCCTCCAGCTTCTCGATCAGCTCGGCCGTGTCGCTGGGCTTGAGCACCACGGGGCCGCGCGTCTTGTAGTCAGCAAATGACTAAAGGCGGAGGGTGCACGGAGGGTGGCATGTCGCAGGGCGGGTTGTGAGCAAGGGTGCTTTGTATGGCAGCGGTTTGGGTGCTGTTGGCGTCAGGGCATGTAGCAAGAGACCAAACTGCACAGGATCTAGGCCAATCCGGTGGAGCCATGTGTTGCACTTGTTGACAAGGCTTCAGATCTGGAAGGGAGAACGCCGCAGCGGTGAAGCCCACGCCGCCACACCCGCACCAGGTTGAATGCGGCCCAGTCGCTCTCAATGGCGGCAAGCTTGACCTCGATCTGCTCCTCCTTGACCGCGCTGTTGGCCACCTCCTCCACCTCGTCCCTGAGCACAACAGTCGTGTGAAGCATTTTCACCATTCATGGCTGTTTGAGTGGTGATCAGGCGTGCACCCGTGCCTGCCAAAATAGTGTGCCCTACATCCTGCCCCGCCTGCCCCAGCGCAAGCGCGCACCTGTGCGCCAGCAGGCCGCACTCCAGCAGATGCTGCAGCTTGAACACGTCCTCCGCCAGAGACAGCTCCTTCCCGGTGATCGCCATGACGGTCCGCCAGTGCCGCTCGCGCATCGCCTGGTGTGCCAGCGCCTGCATGTGCATGAGCGCCACAAAAACGGGGGGCGGGCAAACGGGTTAATGTTGGTGCTGCTCCAGTCCTCCTAGAGCGCAGCTGCGTGTGACCAGCCCACGCCAATGTCAGCACACACACCAAGGAGGGAGGGAGATGACTGGAGGCGACATCACCCGGCTGCGGGAGAGTTGCCTGTTAGACATCCAAACCAATGCCTACTGCGGATGCTTTCACCTGGAACAGGGGCAGCAGCTCCAGGAAGTTGTCGATAGTGTCGCGGCAATCAACGTACGCCTGCCAGTCGCGCAGCGCCTTGGGCAGCTTGCGGCACTGCGCCTGGTACTGCAGCACCTGCAGCAACAGTTGGACACGGGCGCACCAAATGTTGGAGAGGCAGTGTGAGCGTTGATGGGAGGCATGCACCCCAGTTCTACAGATGGTTGGTTCTTTTTGCATGTATCCTGTGTGTGAATTCAGAACTCGGTGGATGCGACTTCAGGACAGGCACCCACCCTGCCGACCCTCCCATCCCCCACCCACCTGCTCCCCCATTTCGTCGATCTTCTCCACCACGTCGGCCCAGAAGTAGTCGCCGTAGCCCTTGATGGTGGTGATGACTGTCACGTACAGCGTGTACAGCCGGTCCAGCATGGACACCTGCCAGGTCGCCGGGCGGGGGCCGGGCAGCAGGACGGCGGCACCAGGCTCAAGCCAAATCAGGGGGGTCAGTTTGTGAAAACCCAAATGCAAGGTCCATCACATGAAAACAGACAAGTGCACGGGGCAATTTGGCTTAAAAACCAGATGAGCAGAGCCTGCAGGCGGGGCGGCCTGCAGCTGGCCCGACGCCCCACCTCCTTCTGGGTCTGCTCCAGCTCCGGGAAGCGCGTCACCGCCAGGCCGAACAGCTCCTCGCCGCTGCTGTAGTTGTCCCACTTGCGCTTGCGCACCTGGGGGCAGAGATGCGTGGGGGGCAGTGCGGCGCTCGCTCACACCGCGCTTCCCGCGCCTTGTCGCTGTTTGGCTCACTCTCGCCCCGCTCTACATGCGCCTGCCAACCCACACCCGCCCTCCCTCACACCCCCAAAAACAGCAAGAGAGTACCTGGCCTCAAGCTGCCATGCATGCCTCACAAGCCCACAGACAATTCTTGCCATTTGCCCCGGACATCAGCCTAGAGGCGCCCCCTCACCTCAAACATCTGCTGGAACTTGCGCAGGCGGTCCATGGCCTCCATGGGGTCCAGCCCCGGCACCATGGGGCCGCCCGCGTCCCACTCGCGCCGGAACGCCTGGGCGTCCGCGACAAAGGCGCGCACCTCCTTGATGAGCTCGCGCTTGAAGCCGACCTGGGTGGGTTGGGGGG